TATATACACCAGATGAATCTTTGTTATTCATCTGGTGTTTACATCTTCCTAAATAAATAAAAAATGTTTTTCATTGAAATGAAAGGAGAACACTAACCTTTCAAAGTAGATGAGTCCAAACATTTTTGCTCTTTTTCAAACATTATTACATAAAGTTTAATAAAATAAGTGTAAATTTGCTAATTTAAACCTTATTGCTCTTCAGTGGAATACACATTTCTACAGGCTTATGTTTCATTGCTGTCTGCTTGAGTAATTTTCCTCTGAGGTCTCTGGACTGGAGATAGTCAAATTCATAAATTATAAATACATATATTATATTAAATAGTTTTTCTTCTCCGCATTGAGAGAAATATATTATATCATATTATTATCTGTCAAACAGTTCTGTACTTTTTAAATATATTTTCACCCATCCTATTACCATTTTCTCAAAGAAGAATGCACTAAAACTAGTAAATGTAGCATAAATGTTAATTTTTAACTTTTGCGACTCCTGGTTTTTCAAACAACAAATAGCATTGTTATCAATTTTAACAGCTATTAATTAATCTACACAGTTTCAGCCAAATACGTGTCATAACTGTTGAGTCTGGTGTTTCTTAATCTTCTACTCTTAGTAGTAAATAATGCACCATGTTGAATTATGATTCTTCCAAAAACAGTGACCAATCTGGTTGGTGATGTTGGCCTGCTGCTGCTATTTTAAACTCAAAGTGTGAGTACAGTTCAGTGAGAAGTTTCTTTTAAAAAATCAAGTTAATTTTAGACACATGATGTGCATCAGCATGCTATTTGAAGTGTATGTACTGGGACGTATCCTGTTACTGGTGGTGTCCCACTCAGGACAAACAGTCCCCTGGCAGTCAGGATGTACATGCTGCTATATGTCTAAAATGATCTTACAGCCTCACAGAACTGATTTACATGTTTAACGCTGTGTCTTCAGAAAATCACCCAGAAGTAAATCAATGTCTTCATCGTTGAGCTTTCAGTTTTCTTGAAAATAAAAATAAAAATACAAGAAATAAAACCAACTTATTAGGCCCTATAAAGAGATGATGTTCAGGATACAGGATGTTCTACGCTGCACTGACCTGAGTTTAAAGAGGCAGTGGCAGCTTTTTTCCCTTTCACTTAATAATTACATTGTTTTTGTTCATATACACTTGTGAGAAAATATCAACTATTAATTTTCTTTATTCAGAGATCTTTATTCATCAGCACACAGAGTTTAGAACATTCACAACAAAACAGAATGAGTTGTTTTAGGGCGTCTTGTCATTTTAAATCCAAATAAGCTGCTGGAACTCATCGTTTACTCTCCCACGTCAAAATGGCTGTTAACAGATGCGCAATTATACAGCCGTACATCTTTGAAAAGCAGAAGTGGAGCCTCCTGCACAACCAACAAGAATCCAGCAAGTAGTTTCTGGATGGTAAGTCAACAACAAAACACTTGTTGTGTTTTCCAGCAGCCATTGTACGGTATATACAGCAGTAAAACCAGCTGACCAAATGTGTTGGAGCTCAGCTGGGGTTGCTAGGTGACGGGCTAGACTTCGCTGAAGTTGCTAGGTAACAGCGGAGTGAGACTCAACAACTGGGAGGTTTTTGAAACTGCTAATTTTCCAGACACCAAAAATCTTTTACTTCTTAAAAAACAGTTTTATTGCCCCAAACCAGTAAAATGAAGTGGTTTGTTTTATTACTGCTTCAGTAATAAAACAGGGAAAGTATGTTTTAAAAACAGTACATTTTAAAAACAGCCCAAGTGTGTTTTAATTAGAAGCAATTTAGACCCAAATGGAAGTATAAAAACATGGGAAATGTGAATTTTGCATAACAGGTTCTCTTTCATATGAAATATTTCTGTATACAACTCTGTGTAAGTCTGAAATCTTTGTCCTGATTTTCCCATGACTTCACACGTTACAAAGAGATAAAATTTTTACTAACTCAGAAATAATTCACATTAAAATTTCACTGGTAGTAATAAAAATGCTGCAGTTCTCTTTCTATGATGAAATTTCAATTGTGATTACGACTTTATGTTTTCATGGACACTCTAAGCTTTGTGTGACCTCTGAGAGAGTGTCCTTGTTTTTGTTTTGGATCAGATTAGGGTTCAGATAAGTTCAGCTGAACTCCAGGGTTTCAGTTTGACAGGAGCTCCAAGAGGGCGAATCTCCTCTGCACCCACAGAGCAGAGGTTACGTAAGTGACCAACGCTGAGTTGCTTTCTGACAGATCAGCACATAGGGAGGAAAACGCGCTTTTACTGAGTCAAAGAGACTCCAGCTGAACACAAACTTTTTAATCTAAAGGTTGGCAGAGATGCTGCATCGATGCTAATATTTAAAATTTTTTTGTAATAAAGTTCTTCAACTTATGTTCTCTCTCATTATACTAAATAATTCAGTTATAGATATGCATAATCTGGGCTTTCCACCCTGACTTGGATGCATAAATATTGGCTTTGTTTGAAAAAGGATGATTTGTCTTCAGGTTTTAATTAATGTATTTATTTTGTTTACTTATTTATTTCAAGCTTTAAAAATAAAAATAAAAACAAGAAACCAGTTAGACAAGAGTACAGTATATGCATTCATTACTTTTTGAGATTTCTTTTACAAGAATTACTGCATTTTATGATCAGCCTATGAAGAATGAGCATCTCAGATCATGAAGCTTCTCACTAATTTTCCTGATTCTGCAACCTTCATTTCCAAATGAAGTGGTTAGATCAGCTGAAAAAATTACTTTAAACAGCAGGGAAACAGAACAGCCACGAATAATAGCTACAGTTTTTTCAATCAATCAATCAAATTTTATTTGTATACCACATTTCAGTAGCAAGGCATTTGTCACACATTTTTTCCTTCCACTAAGCTTTCTGTTAGTTTGTTTGGATACAGAGCTCTTTGAACAGCCATCTTATTTTGCAGTTTTAGTAATGTTATCAGAAATACTTAGACCAGCAGCCTGGTTCCAGTTCAGCCCCTCCTGCTGCCTCTTCACCTGATTTCTAGAGACAGTCAAGAGGGAGGGTCAGCAGCAGCATCTCCTCATTTGGTTTAAGATAAACTTGCATGTCCAAAATTATTAGCAATTTGTTAAGATGAGGAATTAGAAACTACCATGATGTGAACAAATGACTACCTTTTTGTAAAGAGAAATGCACTTCAGCAGTTAAAAAACAGTAACCTTATGTCACTCACAGGGTTAAATCTGTCTGTACACTAGTAGGGTATGTAATACCAATCAACCATTGATTTAAATATATTTTGATTTTTGCATCACTGTTTCCACCACATACATATAAAAGTGTGACATTGAGGTTTAGATGTAGCGTTGTGTAACGCTCTCCGTGCACATGGGTTGCAGCAGAGCAGCAATGATGATGTCATGTTTTTGAATAGACGCAGTCTGGAACATCCGGGTCCTGTCCCCGTGGCGTCTCACAAGCTAACGCTAGCTAGCGAGCTGTCAAGCTGTCAAGTGGAGAGGCTGGGGCAGACGGTTCAGGTTCCCTCCCTGGCTTGGCCGTACACTGATTCTCCCCCTCAGAAACACAAGAGCCGAGCTTATTCTTTTGCTCACCAGCTGAGATAATGTAATGCAAAACGGGAGCGCGTAAAGAGGGAGCACAGTTCCAGAGTTTATATGCACTGAGTGTTGAGTGACGACAGTTCACTGCTAGCTGTAGGCTAGCTAGCTTAGCCACCGCTAACCCTTACATTTCGTCGTTGAACACCTTCTGGTGGTAACTGCGGACACTCTGTCCCTACTGCACATTGCGTTGCTGTCATCTGATAATTTATCTGCTTGGTAAGTAAAATTTTTACTCTTTGGCCGACAGCTGCTGGGGGATACCCGGGCAGTTAGCACTTCATGCTAAATTAGTGTATCGACGTTAGATTAGGCCAGCTTTGGCGGCTCTGCCTGTTTTAACATTACGTTAGCACAACAGGGTGAGAAGGCCTGTCAGAGTTAGTGGAGAGGGACAAGGGTCAAGGGCCGCACACTGGCAGGGCTGTTTGTTTATCTGATCCTGGGCTGGACCTTCATCCAGTGGGCCTAACTGATCCTGACTGAACTGGGCCAGTATGGGAACCAGTTCATGCCACCACAAGCGGAACTGTGGTATTTGAGCAGGTTGTTACCAACAAACTGGTCAGTCAGGTAGCTAACTCTAGCCTCGGGGTTGGACCCATGTCTGTCTAAAAATTAAGTCGTTCACCGGTGGAGAGAGGCTTGTCATTTCCTCAATATTCAACTTGAATATTTTAGTTTCTCTGTGAGATTTTGAATGTTTTCAGCAACGACAGCGTTCCTAATAAGTAGTCAAAATGTGAACACATGTCTACTATTTTTAGACAGAAGAGAGCTTTGAATTCAACATTCAAGATGCTAATCTGCTTCCACAGATGGATTGGAGACGTGTTATTTGCTTTTACTCACTTCATACATTAACTACACTCTTCTACTGTACACATAACACCTATTTTATTTCTCTTGACTTAATGTTTGAACAGCTGATCGAGTTTCTTTCCAAGAATGATAACTAATTATAGGTTTTAGCTTTCAGGAGTTGTGTGTCAAAACAATCAACCGTCTGCTGCCATAACATGCTTGGTCAGGAGGAGAGGTTGCTGCAAAGTCAATGAGCTTCTTTAGATTAATAACTTTTTTACCAAGTGGCTTTATGAACTAAATTTAATTACACTTTTTCAATTTATGCAATTTAGTTTGATTTTCTCTGCTCTATTGGAATCATTCTTTTTATTTTTTTGGAAATAAATTGGATCTGATTCATTAAGCAATTTGAGATGACATCTGTTGCGAATTGGTATGCTAAGAACAATTTTAGTTGAAAATCAATTGTTTCATATTTTAAAAAAAGCATTTAAATAACTTTTAAATGATGCCAAGATCATGAGTGTAGTCAAAAAAATTGAAACCATTACAGTGTTTAACATATTTTAATTTGTTTGGCCATTTATGTCCTTCATGTTATATTAAAACCTGGGAAGAATAGTGACGCACTAACAATTTATATTTTTCAAAAATATTGAGAGACATTGCCATGAAACCATCTACAAATGATCTTTGATGAATATTCTGCATTTGTAGTGGTAAAAATATGAATTCCTTTACTCATTAAAAAGGTTGAACCCTATAATATAGATGCATCGTTTAAAAACGGCACCAAGGAATATTCTACCTCGACACTAAGACGGTAAGCATGTGTTTACATATAAAATTAGTGTATTTTTTAGAATATGAGTGTTTGAAAACTCAAGTTAACGGACTACTTGGTTGATTTAAAAAATGAAATCTACTTCAGGTAAATCAAAGATGGGCATCAAACTATGAAATCAACAGGAGTGGAAATAGATACAAAAGATATTTCAGAGTAAGTTTATTTTATGTTGTCTTTGGAAATTCTAAGTACTTCACTTCAAATAAAAAGCTCTGTTTTTCAGGTGATATCACAGCCATTGGTAGTTATTAATAAAATAATTGGTGTACAAATGACACCTGGAAATTCATTCCCAAATTTTCTCTTTTTTTATTGAAAATGTGAATCCTCTTGGTTGATCAAGTGTGTTTTAAATAGTAGTATTTAAAAATGTCAAAAGTTAAAAAGTTTTACTCCAAAGTAAAAACGGCAACATTTTTCATGTCTTTAAAGAGACATTTTCACACATGCATGAAATTTAAGAATCACATTTCAACCTCTGGTATTCTGTGTGATAAGAAGCATTTTACGTTGAAAGCAACATTATTTCCAAACAAGCTGATTAGAGTTGAATCTCTCGTCTGGGAGTTTTGCTTCTGCCAAGCATGTTGCGTTATCCTGGCCTTATACCAGCTGCAGAAAGGGAATGCATAGCTTAGCTGCAGCGTGACGGCTAAGCTATGCATACATATGGCACATTGTTTGCGAGAATGCCATGCTGCCTAGGCAAAGCTGGCCTTTAGGAGAATACGTCCTCCTCTCTGGTTCCTTGGATGTTGTCTTTGGTGGTGTATTTGTTACTCACAGGATTAAAACAAACGGCAAGCTTTCTGACATTTTAAAAAACACTGCAGAGATGTTTCTGTATGGTTATTTTGCTAAATGTGTGGACACATAAACATATGTTTGTTTTTTTTTGTTTTCTTTAGACAGCAGTTTTGATGCTTTTCAGCTTGGGTTGAAACGATTAATCGATTATTGAAAAAGACGTCAACTGATTTAACAATCAATCGCTAACTGGAGGATAAGACCTCTTTTGAAACATGTTCAGAGCAGTAATTAAGCCAAAACTGTGCAAAAAACATTTTGCATCTTTTTCTGTGAATATGTTCTACCCAGAACTCTTTAAGAGGTTGTTTTAGCTTCACCTGGTTCAAATATTTTATGAAGCACATTTTGCTATTCAATTATTGTTCAAAAAATAGTCAATAGATCAGCCCTGCACTGTGTTGATGCTAAATGAAACAGAATTTGTTGAGCTTTTCATGTTGATGTTACAACTATTTTTTTTTAGCTGTGGATGCAACCTTTTTCTATTAAATGATGATTCACTGAAGGAATGTCATGTTGTTCCAGTTCTGGTTTATTTGATTATTTATTTGAATTTTGTTAATGCATTTCCAGTACCCTCTTAAAATGTTTAAGCGGTCAAATGAAAAATCTGCAGAATGTGCCAGTCCTTTAAGGCAATTAATCGTCAGAATACTCAATTAATCGCACATTTTGAACACATTTTCAGGATAAAATCACTAATCTTTTGCAACCTTTCACTGAATCTGTTTTTCAGGTTGTTTGAGGGACACAATGGGGGCATTTCTGGACAAACCAAAGATGGAAAAGTACAATTCCCATGGCGAGGGTAACAACCTGAGGTATGGGCTGAGCAGCATGCAGGGTTGGCGGGTTGAGATGGAAGACGCACACACTGCGGTGATCGGTCTGCCCCACGGCCTCGACCCCTGGTCGTTTTTCGCCGTGTATGACGGGCACGCCGGCTCTCAGGTTGCTAAGTACTGCTGCGAGCACCTGCTGGAGCACATCACTAGCAACTCAGACTTCCAAAGCGCCATACAGGAGGACACCAGCGTGGACAGCGTGAAGAATGGCATCCGCACGGGATTCCTACAGATCGACGAACACATGCGAACCATCTCGGAGAAGAAGCACGGCGTGGACCGCAGCGGCTCCACCGCAGTAGGCGTGATGATCTCGCCAAGCCATATCTACTTTATCAACTGTGGAGACTCGCGGGGTCTCCTCAGCAGGGGGGGAGCCGTGCACTTCTTCACACAGGATCACAAACCGAGCAACCCGTTGGAGAAGGAGAGGATCCAGAACGCTGGTGGCTCGGTCATGATCCAGCGAGTTAACGGCTCCCTCGCTGTGTCTAGAGCCCTGGGTGACTTCGACTACAAGTGTGTCCACGGAAAAGGCCCGACGGAGCAGCTCGTTTCCCCAGAGCCTGAGGTGTACGCGATAGAAAGAAGCGAGGGGGAAGATGAATTTATTATACTTGCTTGTGATGGCATCTGGGATGTCATGGCCAACGAGGAACTCTGTGACTTTGTGAGGTCAAGGCTGGAAGTTACAGAGGATCTTGAAAAAGTCAGCAATGAGATTGTTGACACTTGCTTGTACAAGGTATGACTCGTCCGCCAAGCCTGCACCGACATGCTAACGCGTTGCCTGGTTTATCCTTGATTTACATTGCTGCTTTATTATTTATTTTCTTTTCCACAGGGGAGCCGGGACAATATGAGTGTTGTGTTAATCTGCTTTCCTGGGGCCCCGAAGGTTTCTCCAGAAGCTGTGAAACGTGAGGCGGAGCTGGACAAATATCTTGAAACCAGAGTAGAAGGTGCGAAACATTGATTTAATAAAAACCAGAGGGAGGGAAAGCAACAAAACTCAAGCAAGAGCAGCACTGCTTCCCCATACTCAAGTAAAAATAAAAAGACATGTAAGAAATTATTCAAGTAAGAGTAAAAAAGTACTGAGTAACTGATTAAAACTTGAATAAAGTCTCAGAAGAACCAAACTATAAAGTTATGTGGAAATTTGACTATTTTAAAGGCCAAACTGAAAGTAAATCATGTGGATAACATAACAAAATCAGGGAAAATAAAGCATTTTCAAATTCATGTAAAGTTTTGATTAAAACTTGTTTGTTCTTCATTCAGTGAAGTTACTGTCCGTGTTTAGAGTATCCGGTCATTTTACTTAAGTAAGTAAAAAGTACAACAAAGTAAAAATACTCCTAAAAATACTTATTTTTACCAAAAAGTTACTCAAGTAAACTAGTAAGTAACTACCCAACTCCGATATTAATAATATTTAGTTTTAACAGCCCGAGAAGTTTATTTCTCGTAATATAAAGAGATGAAAACTTGATCCTAATGCTCCTTTATTTGGAGTAAAATCTGACACTAAAACTGTGATTTTAGGACGAAATAGCTGCTTTAGCAGATATTTAAAACATTTTTGAGCCAAACATATTTTAGTGTATTTGTTTGAGGCAAACTGAGTTAAACCAGGGTTGCAGCTTTTCTCTCTGACTCTACACGATCAGAAACGTTTTCGGTAAATTCATGTAAACATCAACTACTTGTTGAGTAAAAATTGGTTTAGCATTTGGTTTTATGATCTTTGCTGAAATCTTTCCTGTTAAAAGAGAATGTATGGTAATTAAAATGTATTGCTTTTTGAGATTCAACAGCAGGTCAGTGTATTTGTTTTGTTTTCTCATCAAGCTATGTTCCATTTATGCATTTTTGATTTATGGTTATATGTTGAGGAGGAAATTTAGACATGTACATGTGTAAAATTGTCAGTTAAGGATTAGGATAGACAGAACCTAACTACCTCTTAAAAATCTTCTAAAAATGTTTATTTTTTGTGAAATCTTAACTTATTGCCTGCATGAATCATTTAAATACTAATAATGTGACTTCTGAGGCACTTTTTAACGTGCACGTCTATTTAAACAAATGTTTTTATAAATATTTAAGCCCTTGCTTTGGCTTCCCTGGAAATGCGTCACCGCATTTCTCTAAAGCTAAGAATCGTGTCGACTGATTACCCAAATAGATAACACAAATACCAGAGCCAGGGGGCCACAGCAAGCCGCTTCTCTTATCTGCAGCATCAGATGTAGCCACACCTCATTCAGTCTGAATGTGAAAACAAACTTTTAATGAGCTGCAGGTCAGTTTTCTGCTTCAAACCCTCATTTCCTACCAATTTCTCTCCATTTAACCCCAAAGAAATAAATGAGTAGCAATATATGTGGCATTAGACAAGTGATCCATATTAATAGAAATGGACATGATAAAATATTCATTGAACTGAATAGCATTCTGGGAAATTTAGGCATAGGAAAAGTTTCAGCTGTTCAACTTCTGCCTGATGCAGAGGTCAAACCTGATGCCATTAAGTAGCTTAGTAAGTTTAATGGCATCGATATAGTCTCCCTCGCTCTTTGGTTACCTAGCAACTCTCATTCTTTGGTTACCTAGCAACGACCTGTGGAGTAACTTGCGCTGCAGTAGTTTGAGGTTTTCCTACAGTTCCTCATAACTGCTTAAAAAACCCCTGCATGGAATGAAAATTGTAGATGAAACGGGAACGGTCACGTCGCCAGTTTAGCAGAATTTCAGATGTAAAAGAAAACAAATGAAAAATTATTGATATCAACAATTGTCGACGTTCCATCGGTGGTATAGGCGGATACAAAATGGCTAAGGGGCAAAATGAGCACAGACGCTCTTACGTTTAATTGAGATACAGGTAGTTTTCAGCAACTTGGAGTATGTTCACACAGGAGATACTAATCCTCAATTAACACTTTTCTTTTCTTCCTGAAATCCAATTTCTTTTTTTTTTTCAAGGTAGTTCATACTACAAATTAAACCCGAACACAATCAGACTTCTGTGTGAACGATTTACAACCCCAAACATTGACGTCACACTGCAGCACATTATTTATAGAAGCAATAATGAATTTATGGATTGATTTTAAAGTTTATTCAGCAACGGGAGCTGACAGTATCACAAGATGATAATACGAAAGAAGCTTTTGTTACGATTCCACGTTTTCGGGAATCCAGTTTATGTCTGGATTTACTTTGTCTGGATTTACTTTGTCTGGATATACTTTGTCTGGATTCTTCTGGTGCAGAATTGCGACACTTATCTGACATCAGTGGCATAAAAATCAGATAAAATGCAGCATGATGCTTTGAATGCGATTGGAAACATATCTGGTTTAGAATAAATTAGATTTTTAAAATTTCTTTTGGTGGAAAGATCTGAATTTAGGCATGAAAAAAATCAGATTTAGGTCACATTTAGCTGCTGTGTGAACCGTATCCTTGAAAAACTGAATGTAACTTTAACTGCCTTATTACATACTTTATTTTTAGCAGGAAAGTAATAAACGACATATTGTTCAAGCAATATTTTCTTATTGGATTTAGTATGATCTTTTTTATTTACTTAATTCCCTGCGTAAGAGTGACTGGATCTCATTTTCAGTTGGAAATAATTTACACCTAAACATTTTGGTCAACATGTGAGAGCATTACAACAATCTTAGTAAGGGGATTTTTCTATATTAAAAAAAAAAAGAAGCAGATTCTCTTTTCGTGATTTTATATTAATAATTAGATATGCCAAATTATTCATCAGTGCAAAATCGGTTTATACTCAGGAGGAGCACGGCAGATGTCACGGTCGGACAGCGGGGAAACGCGTGGGTGATGGTGCCTTTCTGAAACCACAAAAAGAAAACCTTGTAAAAGTGCACAGTGCTGAATTGCACACAGAGTAAAAAATGTATGCACCCCGTCTCTTAAGACCGCCGGAGGATTAAACAATCAGACCAGGAGCAGAAAAATGTAATCTGTAAAGTATGTGGAAGACAGGACATACTTTACTACCTTAAAACGAAGCATGCAGATCACTGAATACCAGCAATGCAGCCAACTACAAAATCAGTCAACACTGGAAAGAAAAAGCAGGATTTGACACAGACATCCTTTACAATAAAGTCACCGTGTCTAGATATACATTTTTAACTTAATTTAACTTTGATTTGATCAGGTAGTCACCATTGAGATAATACTGCTGCCCATCATTGCCAAGTCTCCTTCAAAATCAGATTATAGGCAGCAGCATAAAACAAAACGGTTACAAACATTAAACACAAATAACATCCACAGAAACAAGTGTTAAATGTTTTTGTTTTTGTTAAATACATATATTCCACTATTTGGTATTTGATTTTTTTTTTCTGTTTCTATTGTAAGTTTTATACAAATTATATCGTAATATGTATCATGACTGCATGCCAACCATCCATATATATATTGTGATATTAATTTTAGCCATGTTGCACATTCCTGTGTTTTTCTTATAGAGATAATCAAAAAGCAGGGAGATGAAGGCGTCCCAGATTTGGTCCATGTTATGCGGACGTTAGCGTCTGAGAGCATCCCGAACCTCCCCCCTGGTGGAGAGCTGGCCAGCAAGTAAGCGATGCCTTCTGCTGTGATAAACTAGGCTTTTTGTTATGATATCCAATAAATTATCAGCTTAAAAACAGGATATTTTTGTGTTAAAGTGATTTGTTTTGCCCTTGTTCCTGCAGACGAAGTGTTATTGAAGCAGTGTACAACAAACTTAACCCGTACCGAAGCGATGACACTGTAAGTATCCACTTCTTTTTGTTCTCTGCATGGTTGTGGTTGTGTGACAAGCAAAGCTCAAAGTCTATTTGTTGCATGCTTTTATATCTAGGAAGATCCACGTTTTTCTTTTAAACACAGTGAGTCATGGGCTGGGTGATTATGGATTGACGCTGCAACAAGATGATCTACAGTGTCTTAAAATATTCCTAACTGCTGAACCACAAACTTTGGTGAATTTTATTGGGATTTTATGCGTTGGAAAGCACAAAGTAGTGCATGGATGTGAAGAAAATAAAAATTTGTATTCAGTCCTCTTTACTCGCATATCGTTAAATAAAATATTGTGCAACTAACAGCTTTCAGAATAGTTTGTTCATTTCAGAGGTTTGTCAGAGAAGAAATGGCATCATGGAGACAAAAGACGTTTAGGTTATAAACTTTCCAAGATTTAAAAACCTCTCGAAGCACCCAGGTGGGAACTGAATAAATGTGTTAAAATTAGAGATGCTCTGATCCAACATTAATATCTGTATCGGCCCTGATATCCAAAAATACTCGGGTATCGTCACAATATGTCTGAATTAGATCTATTCTGTCTAACTCTGTGCTTTTTCTGAGTGACATCATGCTTTACTTGTTTTACATTATATTTCTGAACCATTTGAAAAAAGGTTTCTTTGTTTACATGTTTGACCAGAATAGTCAACCTTTTGTTTCAGTTTTTTTCATTTATTTTACATTGACTGAAGAAATTAAAGTTGCATTGTTTTTATATATTTGACGAAGCTTGTGAAGCTATTTTTTAAGTGTTCTGTACCAGTGCAGTTATCTATCAAATAAATTTGTAATTCAGTATGTTTAAAAACAAAATGTTTTAAGTCAGTTCAACACTATTTTTCTGTATCAGATCGATATCCACCGATACCAAATCTCAGATATCCGTATCAGTATCAAAAGTGTAAAAAATAGATCGATACATTCCTAGTTTAAATGGCCCAGTCAAAGTCTAGACTTGAATACATTTTAGAATCTGTGGCAAAATGAGAAAAGTATTGTCTCTAGATTTAAAAAACAGACAGAAATCCTGCAGCACAAATTGGCTGAACAAAACATTGATAATTATTAATCGTTTTTCTTCCAGTTCTGCTTTCATATCCCAATAAAGTTGCACTAAGGTTTGCAGTTTAAATGCAACTAAATGCGTAAAAGTTAAATACTTTTTCACGCCACTGTAAATCAGCATTAAACTAAAGCATTAATTATATTTGTATTTAAGGTTCCAGTTACACCACTAGAGCGGGTCATATTTTTAAATGTGGTGATTAATGTTTATTTAAATGCTTGTCAAACCAGATGTGTTATGTTGCATAATTTTGTTACGTTTATTGGGTAACAAAAATATTGAGCCATGTTTAGTCTCATTTGAATCTAATACACTCCAGCTAATTTTCATATCTGGAACAATATTAGAGGAAAAACTTCATTTTATGATGGTGATTTTGACATTCCTGTCCTCCTTTTCCGACTGTGTGGTTAAATTGTTGCCTTCTGTCCCGAGTTAACCGACTATATAACAGAACAGGTTTCTGAGTTTGATAATGTTCGTGTATAAAAATGCTGTAAAACATTTAAATATAGCAGAAGAATCGGTTATATCTAAGCATGATAATCTAAGAGCTCTGTGGAAATCCCAAACAGATTATTTACCTTAAAGTCCTCTTTGCATTGAATAGGCCACTTTGGATTAATTACTTGGTTTTTCTTTAACCATATGTTCATTGTTGCAGTAACTTATTGTTAGTATTTTATGGAAGAAATAACTTCCATAAACTTTTGGTTTCAAATATCGTTCATCAGTAAATGCATCTGAATATGATCCATTAAGAAATGAAAACGATAATGTGTTTAAAAACTAACTTCATGGGAGTGTATGTGTAACCTTTCTGTGTTCGTCTAAGGTCTGCCAACTGCTATCATCAGTTGGCAGCTGGTCATAGCAGTAAGCAGTTAACATTTATACAATTAAATATGGTTGAAATGGGCAACATTAACAATCATAACATTTAAAAACGTAAAAAATAGCGATTTTACTCCTGAAACACTGCACACTATAAAATTTGTCTAAAATATATTTTAAGATATAATACTTGTCAAGAACATACAGAGCGGATGCTCATACATACCACAGTTACTAACGGCAACAGAAAAAGGAGGAGGAGCTGTCGGTTACCGGTTACCATGGTAACTGCCAAGAGCAGCGTAACAGAACTTAAAACACCAATAGATGTCTGGAGAAACAACTTGTTAACTAAACAAAATAAAGGCAAAGAATGAATAAAAAATTTTAGACAAACTTCACATTTATAATATTGTTGAAATAAAACCCTGCTACATATGAACTGTAACAAGCAGAGGACCGAGAAAACAACTGTGGTACTCCGTGGTGCATGTGGAAGATTTGCTGTTTAGGTGAACAAATAGATAAAAATAGAAATCTGTTTTCCGTAGATATACATTTATAGTTTTTCTGCATGTTTAGCCTGTTTTTTTGTCCGATTTTAGCCGATTCCATCTTTTATTCTTAAGACATACAGTAATAAAAAATTTGGCAATTTCTTTTAGATTTTAGGTGTGAATCCAACAGAATGAAGGAATTACAAGATTTTTCTCATTTATAAATTAAAGTAACCTTCCTCTACTGGTTATTACACTCATCAAAGGTTTTTTGATTGTTCACATCCAAAACAGGGAGTTTCTGTGTTTGAGGGCTTCTGCAGCTCTTAGAATGAGAAAACAACTTTGTGAACAATATGTGATGTCAAACATCAGACTTTTTGTATTTAAATACAAGAATTTGAAAAAAAAAATCAACGCAACCGATTAGAGATGCAGAAAAAAAATATAGAGAGAGAATCGCAATTCATAGTCCTGGGAGTTTTGAATCTGTTTTAGTCTGCTTAACTATATTTTAAATAATTACTAGATTTTTATTTTCTAATTAAGAAAAGGCCATGCAGCTAAGCTAGCCTAAGACTTGGAATTTAAGTTGCAAAGTTTTATGCACAAACCTACTTTTATTTAAATATAAACTGATGCCGTTTGATACAGTATGCAGCTTTATAAATGTAATATTTGTTTGCTGTCTTTTTTTCATCAGTCACATAATTTGGACAGAATCTCTAGACCGACTGCATAGGAAAATGGTTTCTAAATTAAAAATAGTTTCTGACTTGAATAGTGACCCTAAAAATTCGTCTGAATCACACACTTAAAAAAATAAAGCAGGCAGACCAGTAAACACTGTAGGTGGTTTATTACATGGTTGGATCAAACCTTAAATAAATGTTTTTATTGCGAGCAGACATTGAATTTTATGCTTTTGTGTGTGTGTGTGTGTGTGTGTGTGTGTGTGTGTGTGTTTGTTTGTTATCTACATTTCCTAAGAACTTCTGGGGATTAATTTCTGGGACATTAACTAAAAACTTAATATACATTTATTTAAATGTATATTTATTTAAACAGAATCTGTTTGTGTTCTGGTCCAACCAGGTAAAAAAAACAATCAATGTTTTAGGAAAATAAATTATATTTTTCAGTGTTTGACCCTCTGATCACCAGTAGCAGCTGAGCCAGATAAAATAGTTAAATCTGTCAAGTTAATATTAGTTTAACAGCTCAGTCTCTGTAATAAGAGCACTGATGCTTCTTCACAAGCTTCAAACAAAAACAGAACAAATGTCTTATTCATGTTGTAAAACTTGCATGTATTTTCAAGGCTATTTTGATATCCATTCCCTCTTCCTCAAAATCTAATCTGCTGCTAAGATGATTGCTTAAAAAGATAATGTTTTCTTTCTGGTTAAAATGTGAGCAACATTCGCCCCGTTTGATGGATTTCTTGTTGCTCCTGAAGCAAAAGAAACCAGAATTGTTTAAGAATCATGCTGGATGTGTTATCGAGGTATTTTTGTTGAATTTTCCATCAGTTTGTTGTTTTTCCTCTGAATCCTAATGCTTTGGTCTAACCTGTTAATCTTGTCTGGTTCCTTTGTTGAATAGAAAACCTTTCTGCGCTCCTTGTGGTGAAATCTTTGTTAGCAATCCTGATCTGTGTCTAAGTTTAAGTCCCATCCTTGTCTTCTTCGTCAAATTATCTTTTCTAATTCTTTAAAACTATTTATTTGTAGTTTCTCTACTTTGCTGCTGTTTATTTTTGCATCAGCTGTTCGAGAAATATATTAGTGTTTAAAGTCAGAACTGTATTATAAGAACAAAACTGCTGCCTAAGTTTTTTTTATTTTTTATTTAATCCAACAGTTTACTTTCCTGGTCAACAATCGCAAAGAGATAACGCAGTGAATAATTAAAAAATTTTAGTGGTTTATATGAAATTGTTTTCAAAACAAGTCAATTTAACAAGAAGATAAAAGTAAATGGTAGTAAAATTTCAGCTATAAGCTTATAGATATTATGAATTTGATTCTTTTTACAAGGTGCAGGATGTTTCAGCGGCTTTAGTTTAATCTGAAACTGTGAAAAAAGTTCTTCAGATTTATAACTTCTTATAAAACTGATTATTATCCAAAGCTTTGAGACTGTATATTTCTTAAGAATTAACCTCTTTTTTAATCATTTTTTTCACCCCTTGCCAAAATCAAAACACTTAAATACACTCAGCTCCTTCAGACTAGCCAGCAGCAATTAGCAAACGCCTTGTGGAACTGCAGAGCTCATCATAGCAGCTACTAATCAGTTAAACTCTGGTGAAAATGCTGCTAAATAGAGCAGACATGTTGTGATGACGTCCTGAAGGCGGAGCTTCTTAAAGAGACAGAGGCCTAATTTCAAGGTGTGTCATATCAAAGTCATATTTCTGTTAAGTCATATTTGATATATGTAGCATTTTCATAACAACTGAAGGTAAGATTTTTACTTGGTCGTGCTATAAAATGGCTCCTTGTGCCTGGAAACGCGTAACACCGCCGCTTTAAAGACGATATTTATTTGAACGTCGAATTCAGCTCAGCTCTACGACAGAGTTTTAGGGCCAGGCTAAATTTTTTTTATATTTAATTACGAGAATAAAATCATAATTTTACATGAATACAGTCTTACACCAAGAGTTGGAATAATTTGAGAATAAAGTTCTAAAATTAAGTGGATGAAGTAGAAATTTTACGAGAATTCAAACATGGAAAATATCAAAAAATAAAAGAATGTTTAGCATCTTGTGAAGTTATACTTTGGTATAAGTATTATACAGATAAGCTTAATATAAATATTAAGCTTATCTGTATAAGTTTTACAGATAATAGTTGACGCATAATAGAAATACTTAATCTTTTAACAAATTAGCATGAAATTATTATCAGTAGCAGAACTTCAAAAACATCAAATCTTAAGCTTTTTCTGTTAATTTTAAGACACTTTCTGGTAAAACTAAAAATATTAATATTAAATTCTCATAATTAAACAAAAATTCTCATAGCCTGTCTCTAATAGTCCATCGTGCATGATTGGAATAAAAGCCACTTAGTTTTTATGTTGGAAAAGGAAGCAAGAAAAAAATGTAAATGTGTTAAAATTGGATTTTATTTTTAAGCCAAATCGTGCAGCCCTTCCGGCCTGTCCTCATTTTTATGGCTGGTAACCGCAGTGGGCGACATGGACATTACGTTTTATCACAATATTTTGTGGTACTATAAAAGTGAGGATAATAAATATTTAGGTAACTGTATGGCTCTAATTGTGTGTCACAGCATTTACAGACAAATTTATTTATTTCAGATATTTAAAATGTCTTCCAGTTCCAGTGTTAAATGTTTGTTAGAATTTAAAGTTTATTGGCCTTTAAGAATATGTTCTTACATTATTATGCCATTATTACCATTACATTACTTTAAAATGATCTCAAAACAACAATATTATCATTTATCGCAAGAACTTCTGCAATTTATCGTCCAGCAAATTTAGTTATCCTGACAGAAAATTGTATGTAACCATATTTTCACATACTCTCTTTGAACAAACAGTGGAAAAAAAAAATAGATATTATTAACTGGAATTTATCATGGCAACAATAAATAAACATGTTCCTTAGAAGAAATGAATCCTGATGAACGATTAACATTAATTTGTGTTAGAAAGGGGGAAACGTGTTATTTTACTTTTAGTGAGGCCTCAGTTTGCACCGCTGGAAGCTGTGCGGCTCTCGGTGGGGATCCGGCGGGTGTTCAGCCAAAGTCTGAAGGGTTTTTCCTTCCTCTCCTCTCTTCTCAAGGACTCGGCATCTACAGACGACATGTGGTAACACACCCTCCTACCACTAACACAACATAGAGTTTACAAACCACCATCCTCTCAAGACCCACAGCAGCTCAGCTCAGCAGTCTGTCTCTCCGTCACTCTGAGCTTTTGGTTTCTAAGAAGGGAATACATGGGAGGAGGAGGAGGAAGAGGAGGAAGAGTTGCATGCACACAAACCTGGAATAGTGCAGCACCAGTCCACTCTGGAGTTCAGGATCCCCACCATCTTGCACCATCTTGTCTCCCTTTTTATGTTCACCCTCCTTATTATTCTTCTCTAAAAGTAATCCACAACAAGTGAGTCCACAAGTTTTTTTTTGTTCATTTTTTTTTTGTTAAATAATCCGCCTAAATAGTAGATTTTCTTTTGCTGTAATTAATTTGATTCACATTTCCTTGTGTGTTTGTATATTTCTGTTTTTGTGAAGTGCAATTGTCCTGTACAAACAGCCTGTATTTAATGCAGCTTGATTTTAAGTTTAAGAACGAGAGAGGGGGGAAAAAATGAAAGAAATGGGAAAAAAAGAGAACTTTTTATGCACTATCTGCCTTTTTCTGCTCTTCTGAAATTCAAATGTTTATTCAGTGAATATTACCGCAGCGTCCGCAAGGCACAATGTCTCTGCTTTTTACTTTCCCTCTGCAACACTTTCCTGTCTCTCCCCTTCGGTTAGTCTATGCTCCTTTAAGAAACGGGTAAATTGTATAATTGACAGCACAGTAAGCTCTTACATCAAACAGTTGAAATCCTGATCAATTTTGTTATTTTACTTTCATAACAGGTTTTCTGTACACTCTAATAATAATAATAATAATGGCAGTTTGACAGAATGAAGTGGAAAAATCTTTCTTTTTGTCCATTTTTTAAGAGGCATTTACCGACTGGTGTTGACTGTGGATAGATGCTTGCAGGTGTGTGTGTGTGAAGGTTGTTGTATGGAGCTGGAGTTTAAGGGAAAAGTCGCCCCCCAGAAACCGCCATGCTTCAACTCGGAACAGCTTTGGATAATAAAATATATAGATGCTGTTATTCTGTAATGAACTAAGTTAACCCGAATTGGCCTGAATTTATAAATATATTGTGTCATATTTAGAAAAACTAATCCCTAAACATCCAAGTAGACCACTATAGGTGCCATATGTAATTTTAATCTTTATTACAGCTTATGCCAATTAATTTCTGTGGTTTCCTCGTCAGATAATTTGATTTGAACTGTTTTAAGCACTGATTTTCTAGGATTAATGTTTTAAAAAGAGAAACTATTGGCTCTTATATTAATAAGACTATTTATTTCTCCTGGTCTTTATGTGAACCAAGAACAAATGCATCACTTAAATCTGTCCTGCTTAACCAATAAACCACAGCAGAGAGTGTTATGTGGGTTAATTTTTTAAAAATATATATAGATATATATTTCTAATTTCCCCCAGAAAATAACTAGATAAATCACTGACTAAACATGTATTTAACAACACAGTAGATGAATTTCTTGAAGAGAAATGCTTTATTTCAGATTTCTGCCATTTTCTTTTTTGTCTTGCATTGTTATGAATTTTTTTGTATGTATATAATATTTCTGGCCTAATTTTTTTGAGGAATAAATCATTTCGCTTGAGTATTTTTTTTCTTTAAAGTACCATTTAGCCTAAATGTGAAATCAGCTTTTCTTCTAATCATTTTGTAAATGTTTCATTAATGTAGAAAAGAGTAATAATTTACTAAATTTATAATCCTTAATTTATCTTTAAAAGAAAAAAAAGACAATCCTAACTACTTCACCACATTTCTGTTTGTGGTGAGTTGTTAAATCCTAAAAATCAGACTTCAAGCTGCTTTCCTATTGTGCTTTTGTGGCAAAAAAATAAAAATAAAATCCTCGCCAAAGACCTTTCTGATTCGACAAAAAGAAAAACACAACCGAACTCCTGCAGTGTAAACAAAACCCACACATCTTCATTTTAAAATTTTATTTTCGTTGGATTTTAAAGGTGCTCTCTGGTGTTTTTGGTAAAGAAGAGAAAACGTTTCTTTAGGTGGCTGCAGGGGGCGCTAGAGTGGATAAGAAGAGTCAGTTTAATGTGTCTGAAGCAGCATCAAACTTTAAGACAGAGTTCAGCGCATAAGTTCAGAAATACTGAAGCTCCACAGAACCGGTCGGCTTATAAACTACTAATAAAATTTAGTGAATTATTTAATCAAAGCAACATAAAGATAAAAACGGCTGAACTGCAGTGTGTTTAACTCCTTCACAAGTGTAAAGAAATGTACCTACATTCTGTAAAATACTTCGATCTATTCACCGTGTTTGAGCAAAGATGATTTTTATTGTATATAAAAGCGTTTTGTTTGTTTTTTGTTTGTTTTTTTGGTCAAGCAGCTCTTTTGATTTGCTCTGCATTGCTTGTATCTAAGCGCTCTAGATGTCTCCTAACACCTGCCAGCCTTCACACCTGGTAGGTATCAACTTCTGCATCACTTATTTTATAATTAGGAACAAATGTTTGCTTGTGTGATTTACAGAAATCAAACTTGGGGAGTGCCCTGCTTTTTTAAAAAACAGTTTATTAAGTTACTAATGCAAACTTTATTTTGTTTTATTTTTGTTTTTAGCAAAGATTTGTGTTTTGCCCCGTCATCCTTTTGCCGTTCTTTTAAATGAACTACGAATGATCCCAAACAGTTTCTGATGAACTGAAATACCTCATCTTTCTGGTAGTTTTGGTCGACTTTTAGCTCATTTTAGTTCCTTTTTGTTGATTTTTTTAAACCCGATTACTTAATTAAAAGTGGGAAATGCCATAATTCAGGGTTCAATTTAATAAGATAAAGTGGATGAGGAAGCTTCTGCTAACTACACTGCAAAAACACAAATCTCAGGTATTTCTGATCTAGTTTCTAGTGTAAATATCTTAGCACACTTTTAATAAGACAAAACTAACTTACAAGTGACTTTTTAGCAAGATAGTAATTCCTTAATATTGATGAAAAAGTGTTTGCTCCACTGGCAGATTATTTTACTTATAAAAAGATATTTTTATCATGTTAAAAGTGACATAATTTGCCAGTAGAACTTGAAATTTTTCATCAATATTAAGGAATTATTGACTTAAAACAAGCTCCTATATTTGTCTGAAAAGTTATTTCTAAGTTGGTTTAAATGTACTAAGATATTTGCACTAGAAAATAGAGTAAAAAATTACTCTATCTGCATTGTGTTTCTGCAATGCAGAAAAGGAAAATTTCGGTCCTACACTGCAAAAACACAAAATCTTACCAAGAATTTTTTTGTTCTACTTTCTAGTGCAAATATCTTAGTACATTTAAACCAACTTACAAATAACTTCAGCAAGACAGAGGAGCTTGTTTTAAGTAAATAATTCCTTATTATTGGTGGAAAAAGTTCCAGTTCCACCGGCTGATTATTTCACTTAAAACAAGACATTTTATCATGTTATAAGTGAAATAATCAGCCCGTGGAACTGGAACTTTTTCCACCAATAATAAGGAATTATTTACTTAAAACAAGCTTCTCTGTCTGATGTTTAGTGTGTTGAGATATTTCCACTAGAAACTACAAAACCACTTGCTGAGATTTTATGTTTTTTGCAGTGTGTGAATTATTTTTAATGCGTCTTGGCTTCTTTTGGTGTCGTCAAACCTTCTCCGACCCCCCGCTGAGTGGGCCGCTTTTCTGCAGCAGGGATTGCTGTCTGCTGCAGCGTGCCAAAGCAACATCCACGGAAAAGTAGTTGCTGATTGTTGTGCGACTAAGTAAATAACAGTAGTCATATGCACTGATCATCTGTCAAATCATCTAATTTTGTTATTGTATAAAATGAATTATAAAGCTATTTACAGAGTTACCTTTGGTTGCCTGGAATGCATCCTGTATATTCTTGTATGGAGGACTACCTAGCAGACTAGAGAGATTTTAAATGCTCGCGCCCCTCATGTACATATCGATGTACCTGTGTCGTGGCGTTTACTGTGTGACCCTCAGTGGTGGTTATTCGTCCCCTTGCTGGGTGACCCGAGCCTCACTTCGCTGATCTTTCTTCAGCTCATGAATAAGCTCACCGATTTGCCTTACCCAAATCTCATGTTGCCCCTTCCACCTCCTGCACTGCAAAAACACAAAATCTCAAGTGTTTTTGGTCTAGATTCCAGGTAAAATGTCTTAATTCACTTGAAATAAGACAAAACTAATTTACAAGTAACTTTTTAGCAATATGTAGGAGCTTGTTTTCAGTCAATAATTCCTTAATATTGATGAGAAAAGTAGTTATTCCACTTATAACCAGATGCTTTTCCAGTATTATAAGTGAATCTGCACTGCAAAAACACAAAATCTTACTAAGTATTTCTGTCTAGTTTTTAGTGCAAATATCTTAGTACACTTGAAATAAGACAAAACTAACTTACAATTAATTTTTCAAAAAGATATAGGAACTTGTCTGAACATTTAATTCCCTTATGTTGATTTTTTAAAATTATTTTTAAACGTACTAGTTCCACTGGCAAATTTCTTTCTCTCTTATAGTTTAATTTTCTCCTGCTTTAAGTGAAATAATCTGTCAAAGGAACTGTTACTTTTTATATAAAAGTCCTAATTAAGGAATAAAATGCTGAAAGAAGCTCCTATCTTGCTGAAACTTGTAAAGTTAGTTTTGTCTTATTTAAAGTGTACAAAGACAGAAGAAACTGAACAAAAATGCTCGATAAGATTTTGTGTTTTTGAAGTGTAGTTCTTTTTTAATTACTATTAAATAATTATTAACTTAAAACAAGCTCTTATATCTTGCTTAAAAGTTAATTTCATATTTGCACTTGAAACTAGACAGAAATATTATGACAATTTGTGTTTTTGCAGTGTAAAGTTGTTGCCCTTCCACCTCCACCAAATAAAAAAAAAACACTACGAGGATGAATACTGCTGCTGACATTACAGCTTACAGATTGGAAACTTTTCTGTTTTATTTTATTTTTAAGGTACTGAATCTGTCCTGGCTGTCACAAGGTACAACTTTCTGCCCGTGTCGCCACATCTGATCCCAGTCAGAAGCTTGTTTTGATTTCCAATGCAAATGATGTCATACATTTAACGAATGCAAGTGTTTTGAACATGGTAACCTCGTAAAGCATTCAAGGTGTGCATACATACATTAATGTACCTGCTCTATTTATGATCACATAGAAGAATAGCTTTAGAGTGCTGTAGTTAAATATTGTCAGTGTTGATTCAAATGCTTCTCAGAGGCCTCTGTGAGTGATTTTACAAAGTTCAATAACTGTATATTTTGTATTATGTTCTAGCTCCAAAGGAATGACAGAAAAAATGTTTAAAAAAAAGCTTTGTTCCCTGAACTAAATTGTATTATTTGTGTTGTCGATTGAACAAATTGCATTCCTTGCTTGTGAATAGATGCATTTTTCTCCCTGCTCCTTAAATTTTCTCCTTCTTTTCCTTCCTTTCTTTCATTTTTTTTTAGCCATTGAAGTTTGAATAAAATTTCTAGTTTGCAGAATGTATTACTAAATAAATGGGTTGTCATCTTGTACCTCTCATTTTTCATCACTCTTTATCTTCCCTTTGGTAAAGCCAGACTTTCTCAGAGTGTGACAGGTAAATGAGTTGTGCAGACAAAGCTGCATTATATTACTACAGCTGCAAAAGGATGAATGGGGGATCCGAACGACAGTCTGAACTTTCTCTGCATCTGAACGTAAAGTATTATTCAGAGAACCAAACTGATTATTTTCTCACACAGACGTTAAAGGATTGCAGCAGTTCTTCCATATTGTGTTTACTTGTCGTTTAATGCAGTTATTGGATCATTTATACAACGTCTGGCATGTTTGGGGGATTTTCTCCAAGAAATTTAAATGCTTAGTTATGATTCCTGTTGAATTGTCATTCCCATAACTATCGTTTATGAATGGTAAAACATCTTTGTGGCTTTGTGCTGTGAAAAATATTTACCTCCTTTTGTATTTCTTCCATTTTTGCTTTTTTTTTTTTTTTGCTGCCCTTAAATCTGGGGTGTCCAAACTTTTTTATTGTTAAAACAAACTACACAATGTTTAAATGAAACGTACTATAGTCTGTAAATTATTCTGGGCTAAAAGAACGTGATCCAAGTTTTTCTTTTTTAATTTAAACCCTCCTTTTTAGCCGTTTGTGATGCTATATAACATCAAATTCAAATTAATGCAAGAAATGAAGTTAATAAGAGATGAATAATTTATGTTGTTGGTCAAGTTTTCCCTTTTAAGACTGGTTTGTCTGCATTTTTAATTTTTTGAATCAGTAAAAATTGTATTTTATAAATCTCTGCTATTCCTGAAATCATTCCAAAGGCCACAAATAATTACATTTTAATATCAAAAAAATGTTCACAAATGATTCGATTTGACTGAAAAACAAAACTTAAACTCCCAAGTGAAAATGTTTTGAATTATCTGCCCATTTTTCGAACTGTGAGCTTTTGCATAAACAAAAAATATATTGTTTATGCACACAGTATTTACAATAAGTCTTATTCTGGGTTCAGTTTGATTCTGCAAAACCTTAAAATCAGTCATTTGTGTTCACTAACAACAGGAAGAAGACTCAAAA